CTTACACATAGTAGGCATTAATTAAGGCGCTGATCATTACTTACTAAATATTGCATGATCATTAGCGTCTGCTAAAAGGAAAACTGTCTGTTTTGAGCTTTATTGAGTTGGAATTGACACGTTGAAATACTACCTTAAAGAAAAAGGTTTCTTGGAGATTTTAAGGTCTCTGAACTAGGTTGTCCTCCCGGTAATTATAGACCGATTGCCGTCTATTTTAATCTGACTTTGCTGGTTTTTTTCTGGTATCTCTCTGCGTTACTGAGCTTTTAGGACGGGCTCAGACTACTTGATTTCTTGGAAATTTGCTGTAATCAGTGATAATCATGAAATTGGCCACTTCATGTAGTGAAGCCGTATGTCTCCCGACACTCGTACCCAAGCTCCTTCCCTCGTGTGCTCCGGCCCATCTCAGTCAGCACCGCTGTGGGGACGGTGCTGGCCTCTGTCCTTAGCTTCCCCGCGCCCCACGGTGACTGTCAGTGCCACACTCCACGGAGGGACAGTGGCAGGGGTACAAGCCTGCCATCTCTTGCGTGCACCGGCCCCCTGGCCTGTGAACCTGTGCCCACGTGTGTCCCCCATTTCCGGCTTCTCCCAGCACGGAGCCCACGACAAGCCTTCTTGTTCTCGGCTCAGAGGGCAAATCCAGCGCCCTGCTTCCCGGGCCCCCTCACAAGCAAGGGCGGGGGCGAAACACGCCTTCCCCTCTTCTCTGGGCTTTGGAGCTTCGGGGGCAGCTTGGAAAGAGTGCTACATGTTAAAACTAACATGGTGACAGTTTTTGAGTGTGTGGCACAATTCCTTTGCACACAAGCTATAGAAAATGGCCCCTGAAGCTTGCACAAGGATCCACGTTCACCTAGACCACATCCCACCCGAGCTCAAACGGCCCCCTCAAACCTCAGCAGAGCCAGGGTCCGTAGGCATGTCCTTAGATGGCTAACGGAGGGGTTCCTGCTGGGGGACCTGCCTTGGGACCAGGCTGCGGACCACTGCCAGGGATACTAATACAGTGAAATGTGTTTGTCAAGCGTTCAAATAAGTAGCAACTTCATTATGCAAATGAGACATTTACCCTTCTGGGGACGTTTCTGATGCTTGTATAAAATTACAGTTCTCACATGTCTGTTTTTTCCCTATTAGTCCAGTTTGTGTCTGTCTCTTTTTTAGAAGGTTTTATTAAAGCAGCGCCTCCCAGTGATGTCTCCTGGTCAGCCCTGCTGCAGAGACGAATGGGAGGCAGAGAGAGGGGTCTCCATGCTCGGAAGCGTTTAGCCGGAGCCCCGCACTGCCCCATGGCCCGCCCGTCGGCTGCCGAGCTGACTGCACACGGGGTCCTCCCCTTACCTTCCCCGCTTTCGCGTGATGCTGCTTCTTCAATGAATTCACATAATTTCACGGTTCTCCCAGAGACGAGAGTGTGGACACTTTAGCACCTTTACACACGTGCTTTTCTCTTCACTCAGGATTTTCTTTGTGCTGGACCAGGCAAAGCCCCTTCCTTGGGGTCGGACACTGTCTGCCGCACAGAACCTTCCCCTCCCCTGGGTGGGGTTCGTCCCGCCCACGCTCCTGTAACACTAGTTATGCACCCAAAGTCCGCATTTCCAGTGTATCTTTCTGTCACTTGCTGCTTCACGGTCCCACCACGATTCTTCCATGTGTCTGCCCCCATCGCTGAAGCATCAGTGCCCACAAAACACTATCGCCTCCTCATCCTTTTAGAGTTTTCTTTCTTTTTTTTTCTCCATTCAGGGAGTGTTTGCTGAGTCCCTATAAGATGAGGGGCTTTATTCTAGGCCCCGGAGACACAGCGGTGAATAAAATAAAAGGGCTGCTTTCACGGAGCCTGTATTCTGGTGGGGGCGATGGTAACACTGCCAGTAAGCGCCCAGCAGCCGAGGGCTCCAGAGAGGAGACGCTGGCACTCAGAGTGCTGCCAGGGCAGGTCTCCGATAAGCTGACACTTGATGGCAAACAAGTTAGGGAGCAAGGCAGGAGCTGTGCAGGGTGGGGGTGGTGGTGTGGGGGCTCCAAGAATTAGGTGGAGGGGCAGTGGGAGCGTGCAGCCAGGTCTCCTGGGAGGGTGGGGGGGGGGAGGTCAGAGCCCTGTCGCTGAGAAGGGCAGGGAAGGACTTCAGATGTTAGTTCTGTGCTATGCGAAGACACTGCAAAGGCGTGCACAGCGGGGGCTGGCCCTGGCCTTTTCCAAAGCCGTTCTCAGCAACATACGGACTTGAAATGAGCGTAGGCTGGATGCTGTTACCCGAGAACCCCAGGGGGACACGACCAGGGTCTGGGCGGGTGACGGTGCTGGAGTAGGGGACAACATGGGTTGGGAATAGAAGTGTCGGGTGACGTGGAGCGGCAAGCCTTCCTGCCCCGTGAACACACGCGTCATGTCTTACATGGCAGACGCTGCCCGTCACGCAGGTCAGGAGGAAAATAAATGTTTTTAGTTTCAGAAATTTAGACGTATATCCAGGAGCCCAAATGTCGTTGTCAAGAGTCTTGGGGATCCTCATGGAAGAGGATCAAATTAGAGAAATAAAACTGAATCCATCAGTATAGACGGGATTCAAAGACGTGGGACCAGGTCAGCCATGGAGCGAGGGGCGATAGAGACCAGGTTAGGCTGCAGGGGCGGCGCTGTGAGCATGAAGGTGCGGAGAATCCAAAGGGTGACCGAGGAGGGAATGGGAGGAGGAGAGAGGGACCCCATAGATGAGAAAGGAGAACCTTCCGAGGAAGAAGCAGTGGTCGGCTGCGTCAGAATCTACTTCGAGGCTGAGTAACAGGGACTGAGGACTGGTCAGTGGGTTCACGTGAGCTCACGTGAACTCGGTTCTGTAAGAACTGCTCGGCCAGGGCCGGGGCGGGAAACCTGGCAGGTGGCTGGACGAGCGTCGGGGAGGAGAGGGCGTTCCCACGGCTTTGCGAGCACCGGGGCTGGAGGTAACCAGTTGGGTGTGTGGCTGGGGTGGCTGTGAGGTCAGGACTGAGGTTTTGGCTGGTTGGTTGATTTGATTTGATGTGTGTCATCCTTAAAATGGAATTAATGAAGAAAAATAACAAGGGTAAATTCTAAAACTGGAATCCTAGAGTTGGAGAGAACATGGGACCCTGAAGGCAATAAGTACATTTCTGTGAAATGAATAAATGAAAATGAACACAGAGGAAGTGATAATTAATAGAAGAGAGCCCTATGTAACCTGATAAAGGAGGATAAAGTGAACACACACCTTCTAATGTCACCGTGCTGGAAAAGGCTTCCTATTTCAACCAACATCCTTCGGAGGACATCATTCAGGCTGTGGCATAAAAAATACAGCCAGGAGCCATAAGATCCTGGTGTTTTGCTATAGAATACATGGGTTTAGCATAAAGTAATATGCAGTTATTGTCTTATTTGGCAAGGGTTTTCAGTTATTTTTAAAGAAGTGAGACGATGTGACTCGAAGTGAGAGTATAGGGCATGTGCTTAGGAAGAGAATGTCACCTGCAAGACGAGAGGTCATTTCTGGGATTGTGGCATCTTTATGTTAGTATTTCCTGGAGATTCTACCTTGATGTTCTGTTGTGATGTTTCAGTAAATGCTTGTTGAGTTGAATTTCATGATACTGTCTTTTTTTTTTTTTCCTTGCTGGGCCATGCTAAAAATAGGGAAAATTAATGAGTAGATTTCCAGAGTGGCCAGATTAGTTTGAATATGGTAGAAACCGCAGATTTTTTTCCTAAATGACAAGCGGGACAAAAACCATATAGAAGGCATATATACCTTAGGTGTTGACCGATAAGTGAGGTGAGGGAAAAGTTGGGGCTCAGAGCCCCACTTACTGTGGGGTTGAGACGCCCATGACTAAACTGAGGGTGATGGAGGCAGAAAGGAAGGTTCGGGCTTGAAAACTATTGGGGGGAAAGGATGAGTTAGACTTCACGTGTCCATTGAGAACACTGCATCCAGCATTGAGCGTTAGAAGGACTTGAGAGATGATAGTTGTAAATCCGAAAGTGGGTCAATTTTTTTAAAGAAATATTAGCACAGTTTTTCCTACCACGGCGTTGAAAACTGTCTCTTGTCTCCCCCTCAGACAAGTAACGCCCACCCTCTAATTGACACGTGGCCTCTTTACAGCCCTCGCTGCCCTGCAGTCCCTAACTGCGCGTCCTTAGACCCGTGGTCTGCTGAGCAGCACTGCAGTGACTCCACTCTTGGGTGTTACAGAACGAGGGGGCAGAAAGGGGGAGGAAACTAAACAAGGGCAGCCCACCCCTTCTAACTCCCCACCGGCAAAATCCGGGACTATCAGGGCGCAGATCTGCCACACCGGGAGACTCGAAAGAGTGACGCAAATGCGAAATGTGGTCGTAACAACTGAGGTTTTGGATGTTTAATCCCCAATGCAGAAATATGTCAGGCATCACCCCCCTTTTTTTAAACTTCATTTAGGACTTTCTTCCTCCGTAGTTTACACAAATTTCCAGTAGTTTGTGGAATATTTTCCATTACTTTTCGATGAAACGTGGCTTATAGATTGAAAGCAGGCAGGGAGGATTGGGGTGTTCCGGACGGAGGTGGGTTGCAGAGCTGAGCTTGGTCACGGCACGCTTCCCGCAACACACCTTGATGTCACCCTCGTATCGTGTCCTCCATTCTTGGTTGTTCATTGCACCTTTGAGAGGAGGACAGTCACGGATTTTAGAAATTAGAAATGGTAAAATAATGTCACACTGTTACAGTGACAGTTTTGAAATGGGTCATTTTATTTTATTGTGTTTCTATTGGAGAGAATACTAAAATTCATGCCGTTTGTCGTAGGAGAGCTCACAGTACGAAGGAAAACGACCCACGTAACAGTTAAAGCAGAGTTTGGGAAAGAATATCTGTGTATACACATATTGCTTTTTTTTTTAATGCATTTTTTTTGTCTTGCTAAGTAAGTTTTGAGTGTTTACCCCAATCCCCGCACATCTGCTTTCTCTCCTCATGTTTCAGAATACGACCTCGAGCCCTGCGATGACCCCGGCGTCCCTGCCTTCAGCCGCAGAATCGGTTTCCACTTCGGAGTCGGGGACTCGCTGACCTTCTCCTGCTTCCCAGGGTATCGCTTAGAAGGTGCCACCAAGCTTACGTGCCTGGGTGGGGGCCGCCGTGTGTGGAGTGCACCTCTGCCAAGGTGTGTGGGTAGGTGGTCACACGCTTTCATTTCATTCATCCAGTGGGGACAGGGTGTGGCGCGGTCAGGACACGGGGCCCGGGGGCTGGGAGGAGGGCGGGACCCCGGGGCTGGGAGACCCGGCGGGAGCATGTCGTCTCCGAGGTCAGCCCCTCTGCGCGCTCAGCGTCCCAGGCTGGAGAAGAGGGGTGCTCAGGCCTGTGCCAATCATAGTTATGAAGGGAAAATATCTATACGTCTGGGAAAAGGCAAAAATAAAGCTGGAGCCGCTGTATTAACACAGCCTTTGGCAGTCATGTTGATTAAAAGCAGTGAGCGTCCCCTGGTACAGCGATGGTGACAATTTAAAATAGCGGTTGTTTCATCGTTTCTTTTCACTTGAACTCTTTGATCGGATGACGTAGCAGGCTCCCTCAGAGTGGGCCCCCTGAACACTGGATTCTGACTTAGCTTTTCCAGCGTGGTCCCGAGTACAGCAGGGATCTTTTCGGAGGTGCCAGGGGCCGTGGGTGTGACTCAGCGAGTTAGGGGACCATCAGCCTGAGGCCTCTGCTCCCATGAGGGGTTTCTGCAGAGGCGCGTGGCTGCTCAGGGAAACTCCGCATTTTGACCCCTGCACATCCAGGGGTCTGGTCGTCGGCGCAGAGACAATGTCTGGATCCTGCCGCTCGGCCGTGTCGCTCTGCGTGTCAGGGCTTCACCATCTGTTCTTAATGTCACGGCATGGTGACATTTGTCTAGCGATGAGCCGTGCCTTGACTGTGAGACTTCTCAGTTCATGGGAAATCCGTAGCAGGCTCCAATCCAACCAGTGATACGCTACAGGCAGGTGTGGAAGTGAAATCTCCTAATCCCCAGGATGACCAGATTGTTGGCTTAGTAACGGCCAGGCTGTTTCCATGACTCAGCACCCCTTCAGTGACCAGCATCATTCAGCAATGCTGTGTGATTCAAAAGGTAGTGTCTCTTTTGTACTTCAGTGAACTGCAGATAGCCGAATAGTCAGGCCTTCGTTATAGAAGCAGCAAAACCAGGAGCAGCCGTTCGTAATGCTCTCCCTTGTGTTGCATTGTATGTGTCTGAGTCAGTATATTGTTACACAAAAAGGTGCCACAGCTGGTTTCAGTCAAAATGAAGGTTTACTGCTGATGTGGCTGAGCAGTCCATACACCATGTCGGCTTCAGGAGAGGTTTGATCAAGGTGACCTTGTGACCCAGGGCCTCAGGCCTCACCCCTGTCTGTTTTGCCGGCCTGGGTATTGGCTTGACCCTCAGGCTCCACACGCCCGTGGTGAAGCCCCGGCAGCTCCCTGCTGTCACTCCCCACGGGGCAGCCCCCGACCAGGCTCTCGTGTGCTCGCGCAGCAGTCATCCCTGCTCACGCGGCCAGGACCTCGCTTCCCAGCGTGGCTTCTGGGCACGGCCGGGGGCCCTTCCGATTGGCTCAAATACAGTCACATGCCTGTTCCTGACCAATCACTGTCCCAGGAACCTCTGGGGCCAGTCTGCTCAGCTGTTGAATGATAGGAAAAGTACACATTTTGTGATTTTCGGTGATATTGGAGATATTTTGTTGTACCTTGATGGAAAAAACAGGGACAGCATTAGAGGCAGATACGGTGGATGTGAGCATCCACTGGAATTATCTAACGTTGCACCTGTGAACACACAATTTTGAACACATGTTTTTTTCAGACAGGGTAGTATAAAGCTATTTATCCACATCAGAATAATTACTAAATAATATTGCTGAGAATATTTTTAAAAATCAATGAAAATCAGTTATCCTCCTGTTGAATAGCTGAATTCTATTTAGTGAACAAATTATAATATCCTTGGATGGAATAAAATGAGAAAAAAAATCCACACTCTTGTTCTGACTCGGTTAATGGCTTACAACTATTTCAGAAAGGAATAGTAAAGCCAAATATTCTGCCTGCATTTTGATAAACTAAATTTAGCTTTAAATACTTTGATCTATTTCTTTAAACAATATTTTTTCATACCAACCAGCCTATTGTTTCCATTTATTTCTTTATTCTTCTTTAAAATTTTGAAACAAAATTAAAACAAATCTCTATTGAACCTTAAAGGTTAACCCTTTAAGATTAAAGTAAGGAAATAAATGCTTACAGGGTAATAAATGGATTAAAATAGGAACATTTTATGTAATTTTTAAATATTTTTATGGGTAAAAATGGGATCATGTATTTTAAACAATATAGACTCCATATATATATATATATATATATATATATATGTGTGTATGTGTGTGTGTATGTGTGTATATGATATATATAGATAGATCTGATTTGTTTTAGCAACCCAAAAAACTTGGTTTAGTGTAGAATGTATATTTTCTGTCTTGAGTTCACAGTCAAGCTGTTTCCTGTCTTTACTTTTCTAATAATGCTCCCAAAGCATATGCGTGGTTAATTAATATAAATTAGTGATTTTGTAATCCCATAATGTTCTCAGACGCCCCATGAGTTCCACAGAGCTTCAGCGACTGCAGCCATTATGGTGACTGATGTCCTGTGACAGGTGAGGTGTTGTAAGGTCTCAGTGGCGTGTAGGTGGACAAGCTGCTTCAGCACTAGAATTTGAATCCAGCTTTGTGTGTTCAGTGGTTTGAGAGAGTACACGCTTTCACCCACTGTGTTGGAACCAAATAAATGAAAAGCACTACCTCAGTAAAATACTAGTATTGAATATCTGTTAATTCTTGCAGATCATGCGGTCAGTGCTGTGGGTCTTGGGCTTCTGGCTTTATGACGAACAACATTTGTGTTTAAGACCCTCATGTGGGTGTTTTGTTGTGATGCCCTAACCAACAGTTCACAGGCAGATAGATGCTTTTGTACAGAGAACTAACTGAAAAATCAATTGGCTTTTTTCTATTATGTTAATTTTAATTAGTTTAGTTCCATTACAAAAATCTAAAAGGCAATTCAATTTTAATTACAGTTTCAGGAGGCTCTTTATAAAAAGAGCAAATGATTTATATTAAGAAAAGTTACATTCATTCACCTTAAAGTAATGTTAAATGGATTATTGGAAGGACTTAGCATTGATACATTTTATCGCTCTGGTAGTGGAGACTTACCCTGGATGTCTTAAATCAAGTCCACAGAATTTTGTAAATTTTGATGACTTAAATCTTGCAGTTTTCTGAGCACCTGCTTTTTACTGTTAGCATCTTAGTTTCTTCAGTTACTGCCTGTGTGTTCGAGTCCCAGGGTTTAGTGTTCCTCTCTCAGTTTCTGACGCATTTTAATTCTTTCATCTGAAAATAGTGTTGTGTCCTTCGTACACCAGTAGACTGAATTCAAACCGAATTGAAGCCATCAGACACACCTCGGAAGAAGCGAGCCAGTGTAGGGCTTCACTTTTCATCACAGGATGCTCCCTGGAATAGTTAACACTGAGAAGGGCGTTTCCCACAACTGCTTCCGGTTCCTGCCATTTGGAGCCGTGTGTTTCCTCAGAGATTATTACCACCCATCAACACAATTACCCAGTCACACTGTGGTTACTGCACACTCTGACACCAGACGGCCTGGGGTTCTCATCATAGCTCTGCCATGTCCACCTGTGTGACCTTGAGCAAGTTAATGAACCTTACTGGGCCTCACTGTCCTCATCTGTAAAGTGGGTAACGTCGAATTGTTTTATTTATTTAACGACTAGTATTTATAAAGCTATGTTCTATATAAGTGACTAATATAGACCAAAAGAAGAATAACGTGCTGCCCCTGTTGAGCATAGTGGGGCGACCATTTATTTGACCTGCAGTTACTTACTGTGGTCTTCAGGGCTCTTCCAGACCAGGAATTACGGAATTTTCTCTACAACTCCATCTCCACACCACCTGCCCCCTTTAGGTTCTTTACGATTGTTTTTTTTTCTGTTTGGGCGTTTTCTCTTTTCCAAACAGCCCATCATCAGGACACTCTGTGCTCCATAGTCTTCCAGGACTTCCCACTTGGTGCAGTGACGCCACACGCCCCCTGGGTCTGGCCCCTCGCTTTGCGGCCACACCCCTGCAGCTCTCTCAGATGCCCCCTGCTTCAGTTATTCCGTGAAGCCCACGGACACCCCACCTGCCTCGCCTCTGACACTTGTCCCTGTGTCCTAGCACAGTGTCCCCCGCCTGCATTTTGTGTTGTGCCTTTGCTGTTCTGACCCAACTGCCCCACCGAGGACAGCAGTGAATCGAGGCCGTCGCGATAAATGGCTGGTCACATCCAGCCTTGAAACACCCCATTTCCACGTTGGTGTTGCCATCACATCAGAAGGCAGTGGGGACAGTAAGCAAGTGCTCCCTGGAAGGGTCAACTCAGACACAAGCAACTGTTTAAAATCCAGGAAAGAGTGAAGTCATGATTTTTAAGAGAAAAAAATCTCATTACATGATAATCCTGCAAGACTTTGAGGACTAGAAAGCAATACAAATATAAATACAATAATACCTATTATTTGGATACATACAGTAAGACACTGTACTAAAATAGATTTTTAACTCATGTACCAAGTCTGTATTCTCCATAGCAATCTCACAGTCCTGGAGCCAGCTACAGGCAGAGCTGTCGCAAAGCGCCTTCCGTCTGGCGCTGGGACAGTGAAACGTGGCCCTTCCTCATGTAAGTGACTGGCCGTGGTCACGGAGCCTTGGTCATAGATATGCACTGAGTAGACGAGTTGATATGGAGCATTTACTTAGAAACTTTATCCGTGCCCCAGTTGGAGAAATCGTTGCTTTGACACAAGTGGAGGTTGTATTTCCAAGGGGCGAGTGCGAGACATAGAAGCCAGCGGCCCCTCCTGTCTCCTCCAAGCGACGGCAACAAGGTGCTTGTCTGCAGAGGGCTGTCGGTGACAGCTGGTGACCAGCCCCACACCTAGTGCTTCTCTTTACTGCAGACTTGCCCTGAATTAGCGCCACTTAACATATATCCCAGAATCCAAATCCGAATAAATAAAAGATAGGTGAAATGACATCTGTAGGTTCGTTTTTTCCTTCCCATGTATCCAAATGCTGAAGCCCTCTCTCTAGTCCCACCTTTTTGTGGTATTGTGAGAAATAATTACATGGTTACTGTCTTAAATGGTAACGACAAAACAAATATAGTCTCCAGTTACCTGGTGACTAATTCCGAATAAAAGTCCTTAGAAGCACACACTCTGCTACAATAAACTCATATTATCCTAGTTCCATTATTAACTATAAATAACATTGTGAATCATTAACTATAAAGTGCATTCAACACTAAATAGCATCATTAAAAAAGGGTGCAATTCCATTCCTAAGCACTTGGAATTTATAGCAAATCAATAATCAATCTGTACTAGTCGTGTGACCTTGGGGGGAAGCACTGGATTTTTAAACTATTGGATGTTTCAGCTTCCTCATCTGTAAAGTGAGGTTTATTAACACATCAGATAAGGAGGCTGAGGATTGAATGAGTCCATGTGTGTGGAGAACTTAGGGAAGTGTGTGGCACAGTGTCCGCGTCAGCCTTGTGATGATACGTTGTCTCCCTTTGGAAGCGTTAGACTGCTACCAGCTGGAAGACGCTCAATGTGGATGTGGCGAGTGTGTGAAGAAGAAAAGAATAAGGAACACAGTGGTGTGAAGACCAAATAAAATAAAAATAAATAAAAGAAAATAAAAAAGAATCCAACCACAGCTGGAGCAAGGGAACAGAAGGTGGTTGGAGCAGAAGCCGACGGAGACGGCACAGCTCACGGGCAGGGGAGAGAACGCTCGTCCTCCCGGGGGCTCACGGATGAAGCTGATCACGGTGCTTCTCTGTGTCTTTGCTTTCCTCGTGGAATGGCCCTGAGGACACTGGGACTCTCGGAGGCATCCATCGTCACCCCAGAATGGCAAAGCCCGCATCCTACACTCGGGCTCAGGACCGTGGGGTCTCCACCGTGTTCAGCTAACTACCCTTTCTGTGTTCAGCCTCCCTCCACTCTCAACCTCATTTAGCCACGTCCTGATGACCAGATGGGGACCAGAGGGAGGGCCAGGACCCCCGTTACCCCCTTTACCTCCCGCCCACATCTGCGGAGGCGCGGACCTAGCACTGTGTGACCGTCAGGGTGGACGTGGACTGTGCGTAGTGCACGATGGACACAATACAAACACTGTAAACCCAAACACACACAAGTAGCTACTGTCCCGTAAACAATTCCTGGAAAGGTCTCCTCAGACTAAAACTAATCTGTTTGCCACCATGTCACTCTTATTTACATTTTTAATTTCAAGATTTTTTTTCAAACTTATAAAGTAATGAGTAAAATAACCAATAAAATGAAATTCAAATTTGATTTTTGAATGGTTTCTTTTAGTGATCGCTGTCAAATTCAGTTTTAAATAAAAATTCCTAATATTTGTGACTAGGTTCCATATCCTGGCTGTCAGAACTCATAGCTTCCTCTCCTGTTCTCTTTGTGGCTGATGTCTGTGACACGTGGGAAGCCCCACCGTTCCGTCCACACAGCGGACAGAGAGGGACACTCCGCTTCATGGTTTTAATGTCCATTTCATTTATTTTGGCTGCTATGTTAAAAACACCCTGTTTCTTCAGGAAAGAATGTGTAAAAGAATATTCAGCCAGGCCCATGAATTGTTACCATTTCCCAAGGAGCTCACGAACCTAAACTGTTGCTGCACTTAAGCAGTGAAGCCACATTCCCTCAGTCTTAGGCTGCCTGAGAATCGCCCAACTGCCAACGTGACAGAAATGCCACTTGGTTCTAAGAGCCCCGAGCCCGGGTCTGCGCGTGCGTGCCCAGGCGCCCAGCGTCGAGATGCACACTGGCCCGGCTCTCCGTAAAATGTTTTCTAAAAAGCGTGATTATAATTATGCAAATATAAGACTAGCAACTATAGCTGTGATCTAAAAGTGTTTTATAAAACCCATCACCATTTTGTTGGGTCACCGATTTCCGGTGCTTCTTTCTCAGCTCCGTCTCCACTGCTCCCGGCAAAGCCTGCCCTCTCGTCCTTACTTAAGGACACATAAGGGACAGGTGAGCCCAGTCCTCACCTGTTTTCCTCCCTGATTCTCTCCCAACCCTGCTCTGTGAAGACGTTTTGAGACCCAGGTGCACAAACCATTCTGAGAAGATGAATCGCCAGCTGCTTCCTTCCAGCAAGCAGGCTGGTGTTGGAGCTGGTTTCATGGATTGTCAGGGAGTGAGGGATGTCCGAGTGCCTCGGCATGATGGGGACAGGCGGGCGAGGTGTCGGTCACAGCTGCATGGCGCCTTACGCGACCCCCTCTGAGGCAGACGCTGGGAGCTTTTCTCACTCCCCTTACCCATGCGTTTCACGGATTTTCAGCTTCTGACTTGATCAGTTCTTCCCACTCATATTGTGTCGAATTTTTAAAAATCTCTGTGTTTGGCCCATAGTGGGGTCAATACATTATTTGCTGCAAACCCCATGGAGCTCCCTTGTCAACATGTGCACGTGTGCATGCACACACACACACACACACACTCATACAAACACATACACACACATACACACTTACATATGCACACATACACACATGCACACACAGACACACACTTATACACACACACTCACACATAGACATGCACACACGCGTGCACTCACACTCACACATACAGCGACTTGATGATTCCATGATCGCCCCAGGCGCAGGTTTTAGAGCTGAAGGAGCCGTTGGCCTGTTCACTCCTGCAGGCGAGGAAACGGGGGGCTGAGAGGCTAAGTGACCTCCGAGCTGACTGAGCATGGGGAGCTCTGTTTATTTTTATGTTTTACCTTTATTAAAGGTTTTATGAAAATTTGGCTGTGGAAGTGAATCGCTGTCTCCGCTCTCCTGGAGAAGGGGAGAGGGACCTGATGCCATTGAGTGTCCCTCTGTCTGTAACAGGCGAGCTCAGCGCTGTGACGTAATAGTGGGCAGCCGTCTATGGTTAGAATCCCCGTTAAATGCATCCAGGTGGCGCCACACACTACATGTGCAGGACAATGGCATCGAGGTGACAGTGTTTGGCATATTAGATTGGTGGGGACGTTGCAGGATGCAGGAATGAGACATGGAGAGGGGCTGTGACTGCCCAGTGACACCTCCAGGTGCTCGGGGCTCATCGATTTTGTTCTGGAATTCTCTGTGGGAGCAAGAGGCACTCTACTGAACAAAATAAGAAAATCCCGACAGTGCGTGCGTGGGGGTATCTTTCCGTGCAGCTGGTACACGAGCAAAAAAAAAAAAATCACTAGTCTATATTGGTTGTATATTAACAGCAGACATGCATTGAGAAAAGCGAGGCTGTCATGCTTTTAAAATTTTTGTCAAAAAAAAAATTTTGTCTATTGAAATCAGTAATTCCACTTGTGAACCCTCTCTCCTTTTCAATGTTCTGTTTATTTTAGCTGAATGTGGAGCAAGTGTCACAGGAAGTGAAGGAACGTTACTGTCGCCAAATTTCCCATCCAATTACGATAATAACCACGAGTGTATCTATAAAATAGAAACGGAAGCAGGCAAGGGCATCCGCCTCAGAGCACGCAGCTTCCGGCTGTTTGAAGGAGACACGTTAAAGGTAAGCGGAGTCTTCGTTAACCTGGGCCCGTCTTTCCCTCTCGAGGAATGCAGCGTACACCCATCTGCGTAGGGGGGCCGATACACATGCACACATGCAGTGATGTGTTGTTACACACGCACACTTTCCAGCTTATTTGTGCAAGTGGTGTGAGAAGATGGGATGCAGTGTCAGTGGCGTGTATGTGGACTTGGAAACACTTTAGTCTGAAATCCTGGATCTGACTTTATTAGCTGTGGATCATGGGCAAATTATTTAACATTTTTAAACCTTAGCTTCCGAATACATGAAAAGGCACAGCGAAACCTGCATTTGGGGCTGTTTTGAGGCTGAAACGACGTGCTATAGGTGACTGTCTCTAACACGGCGCGTAGCACACGTACCCATCCTTATAACAGGAGGCGCCCCTAGACCCACACCGGCTACAGTCGCTCTCGGTTTTGACCTGTGGTCACGGCGCTCAGAGCTCCGAGGACTTTGATGTGATCGTGGCAGCTCAGCCACTGTCACCAGGCCACAGAGCAGGGACCATGTGGGGCAGCCCCGCCAGGACAGGTCAGCTTCTGTGAACCAGCGTTACGTGTTCACAGACGCACGCATGTGCGGGAGTGGCCCCCAGCCGGGCTTCTGGTCGTCCAATGACACAGAGTGTCAGGCACAGCGACATGCCCTGGGCGGGCACAGGACCCAGCACACCACCCCCTGGACAGACCGCGGGGAGTGATTCCGGGCACCCAGGGCTTGCCTTGATCCGTAAACTCCACGTCCAGCTGGAAATGTCCCGGAATTCCCAAGTCACCTGACACTGTCCCCTCCTGCCCTGGGGACCTGCCAGGGGCCAGGGCTGGGCGCAAGCCTCAGGGCACTGACGACAGAGGCTTTGAGCTTCCAAGACCAATGCTGAACCTCACCGGGCCCAACAGCTGCTCGCTCCTGTGAGACGCGAGGGATCTGTGCAGGCCGCACGGCGGACGGGCGGCAGGAGCGGGCCCCATCTCCCTGCTCAGCCCTTTACAAACACCTGGGCTTTTTCAGTTGAGTGTACGCCTGCACGGACGCTCAGCATGCCAGCTCAGACGCAGTAGGGCCCACTCACTCCGCGCTGTCAGCATGAGGAGAATATGTCAAAACCCAGCCAGAAGGGAACCTGGCGTCCTCCCCATGTGCCCTCTGTTTGCACAGCAGACAAAGCGGGTCCCCGACAGCTTCCCCTCAACCTGTGAGAAGTTAGGGGCACAGGGCAAGGGGAGCCCCCACAGTGACGCCCCCTCCCAAGCGCACGTTTGACTGCCTCAGCGTCATGTTTTAGAAGAGGGGTTTCAGTGTGGGTTCTTGCATTTTACTAGTCTCAAAAAGGTCTTGCTGGCAGCAGGAAACACTGTAATTAAGTGATTTTCAGGCAGGAGACTAGTAGTACATTGTCACTAATCTAAAAGAATTTAAAGGGTGTCGTTAGGAACTGCTTTCTGAATCCTTCGATAATTCCAAATTTAGAACTCAGGAAGCCTTGAAGGCAAACGTTTGAGTAACAATGAACTACATTGGTACATATCATCGCATTGGAAGAAACAAAGTGCGTCTGTTTGTGATGGTGTGCAGCATAAACCTGTTGATTCTAACAAAAGCCAAAAACACCTCATTTCAGTGCAGAGACACTGCCAACCTTGCGAGATGCCTAAGTGTTTTGCAGGCATGTGTTCTGTTGAATATGCTAATGGTATCTCAGTGTTAGCGTATTTCCCACGGAATCGCCTTCATCTTGGAGCACACGTGCTGCTCACATCACTCCTTCATAGGAAGTTTGATCCAACAATGAAGACCAGACATCCATCCACACACTCCACACACGTGGTGATGAATCCTTGCTTCCTGTGGAAAGTCACGTAAGAGAAATGAGCCCTAATATGAAAGGACCACGCCACGGGAGTGAGTGCCATCGTGGAAACCACCGTGGCTGCGGCTGGTAAGCTGGGGAAGACGGCCTCAGTCCCTCCATCACCGTCACTCGGATTCCGTGTGAGGCGCCCCATGCCACGATCCTGCCAGCTCTCTGTGTCCCTGGGGACATGTGGCCCTTGGTCACGTGCAGGGCTCTGAGGCGGGTTTGCAGCGCACACAGCCTGGCACTGACTGACCGAGGACTCGGGGCCCTTGATTCTGACTGCTGGTGGATGGAACGGAAAAGCAGGTGGTGCTGAACTGGGATAGCTTGTTGCTACTTTAATTGAAGCTGAACTTCAAGTCTTCTGACTCCAGTACCGCCTGAACTGACGTTTGTAATGAGTGCAGAGTTCACCTGCAAATACTCCACTGAGGGAGGTGACAACGTGACGCCCCATGGGGTGGGTGGCCGACTTCTTCACTGGGGCGCATCTGTTGTCAAGCACAATGCTACTCGCTGGTGGTGTAGACAAGTCAGACAATCACTGCTCGGGAGAAGCGTGTCATTCGGCATTTCAGCCGTTCACCTCCGGTGGTTGTGGCCATGAAGGGACTGAGCAAGCCGCTGTTGGAGGACCTGCCCAGGCTCTGTGAGGCGCTCAGTGGAGCCACAGCCAGGGGAGGTGGCTTGACGGCGGCTCAGAGCTGAGTGGGCTCGCTCTGCTCACCTGCCCTAATTCCCGTTGGCTCCATGGGCATCTGTGAGCACAGAGAATTCATGGTCTGCAGAGGGCCCAGGCCCTTTCTGGGGGGGCTTAGACATGGCCTCTTGCAGCCCGGGCCCTCTGCACTTCAAACCCTGCACATTCTGGGGGCCTGCGCCTCACTACGCCTGATGAATCCACACATTAAGCCAAAACACGATTTTCCAAACAACAGCCTGTTGCCAGCTTTCAGAGAGGAAGTACAGGTATTGGATTCCAGAATTTGCTGGTTTAATTGAAATGAAATTAAGTAATGATCCATAAAATTAATTTTTCTAAATGCGTTTCCTCCTTTTCAGAGTGTGTGTACTTGTGTGTAAGTCTGCTGAGCAGTGCATTCAGCTTACATGTTCAGTAAAGAGAGGTGATAGAAGCAACATAAGAATTAATCTGTGAAAAGGAAAAAAGCATGGGGGTCAACAGATACTGGCGGAGGTTATGAGGACTCCGATAACTTTTATTTCGTTAGCATTTTTCTCACCAAGCAAAGCTGGATATTTTTAATACAATGTAAAATTTTTATTTTTTCGTCCAAAAAAAGTCCCCATCCATGCCACAGTTTCCTTGCTATGAACCATCGCAGTGGTTCAAAGAGCCAAATAGACCCTCGTCGGTTTGCTGGGGGTGTGAGGGGCCTGCAACCCCGAGCTCTACTGGAACGGGGTGGTGCTGATTCCTGCCTAGCAGAAAGGTGTCCCATGGGTCACCCCAGTCCCCGCTCGGAAATGCGAGTAGCTCCCATCCACGCCCAGCGTGGCCCACCTGCGTGGAAGGCGGGGACTCGTCGCTGGACCCACCCTGTCACTCGCCCTCATGTCTGCTCAAACCAGGCCCTGTCCACGCTGCCGCCCCAACACGCGCTCCTTCTAGTCAGGCCTTACAACCCCCTGGGAAGAGAGGGCCAGAGGCGGGCTTCCGAGAACGGAGACTCATCTCTGACAGTGTAATGTGGTGGCATTCTCCCGTGACAGCTGATCCAAGACTAATCAGCTCAGGCTCAGAGAGGAGAGAATGTGACGAGGTGTCTGAAGGGCATCCTGTCTGGCAATAACTCAGATAGGACTGAGCGAGGAGAAAGGGCTGCCCTGTCATGTATGCGGTGGCTCCGAGCAGCAGTCCCCGCTGCAGCGTTAGACAGCCATTCAAGCTTTTCCAGTGCATTCTGGGAGGGGGAAGGTAGGTGCGGAAGGCTGGGGATGCAAAGAAATGCTTCGCTTTACATGAGCACTGGCAGAGCTCACAACGTGATGAATGCAGAACGATCAGAACACAAATGAGATCATTTGCCTGTAATGTCGCGGTAAAGACACAGTTTGAAGAAAACCATTGTGGAGCTCTGTCATCCAGTCAGCTTTCTGTAAACTGTGTCACTTTTCACAAAATCACATCTTTGAGGCCTTGAATGTCTTATTAAACCTGCTCATGTAAAAACACTGAAGTAATGGGGCCCGTCTGTGAACTCTCATCAGGTATATGATGGAAAAGACACTTCGTCACGGCCCCTGGGGACCTTCACAAAAAGCGAGCTCCTGAGCCTGACCCTAAACAGCACCTCTAATCACCTGTGGCTGGAATTCAACAGCAACGCGTCTGACACCGACCAAGGCTTCCAGCTCACCTACACCAGTAAGTAGCCGATGGCTTCGTTGCTGTGTTTGCTCAGGACACGTCTGCTACTTAGCTGACATCAGACACTTGCAGTATCAATTTGTTTCCGGCTTCCCTACTGCGTCGTGGATTGCCATTTACCTGTGTGCACTGTTGCCCAGGCAGTAAACTTAAAACATTATCAGCAGCAATAGATTGAAATTTATCTATTTAGAAGTATTACTATTTTTATAATAACATGGCTGAAACTGAAAAGAAAATATCTTATGACATGAAGAGTTTCTGGGCTTAAAAATATTGATTGTGATGTAGTGCACATTGACAAAAATTCATATACATATATGAATGATTTAGCGTGAATGTTTGGTGTAATTAAAAGTAATGGATTTTTAGTGCCTACCACGCATCTACCTACCATTTTCTACCTACCACAAACATGAGGTTCCACATATTATAGAACGTTAATTACATAGGTATAATATGTGATCATATATCCATATAAATACGCACATGCATATATGTGTATAAAACACCCCTATCTCTATGGTCCTCCTTGTTGCCCCGATTTCCTAATGAGAAAACTAAACCCAAGAAATGTATTTATTCACGCTGAGCTTCAATCTTACGTCTCGTTACTTTCCCAACCCTAGTGACTGCTTTTCCTCCAACGATTTGCAACTGGAGTAATTCATGATTTATGAACACGTATTCCTATATTCTCATGGTTTTGCAAAAAATATCCAGAAGCAAATATATGCCCACCAGAGTTTCAAGTAACCGGGTTTATCGCTGAAGAGGAAAGAGGTGCTGCTTCGTGTCCCGAATTCTGACTTCCTCTGTATTTTCCAAATAGTTTCGAAGGTCCCTGCGCTTGGAAACGCGCGCCTGGGTGGAAACCAGAGGCTGTGGCTTCAGCTGCGCATGTGCCCACCACCCCCGTCAGGAAGCGTTCCCCCCACGTCTGCCCTCAGCCCTATAGACACCCCGTGCCTGTGTGACCCCCATGCCTCCCTCCACCCCCACCTCAGCAGACCTTTTGCTGCCTCTCCTGTTTCTCTGAGTAAATGTGAGAAAGCTTGAGTCTGTGGATCTATTTATGGGCACTTTCCAATTATATGGACTTTTTTTTTTAACATAGTAGCACACACTTTCTAAAAAAATAGGGGAAAGAAATATTAGTGACGATTGATATTTAGCTCTAACTGATTTGATAGCAGTAATTTCCTCCTCGGCCTGTTCCCTCTCCTCGCCACCACCTAGAAAACACAGACGCGCCCTGGGTGCAGGTATCGCTCACACGATTGTCCTAGCGCTGGGACATGCCGCCAGATGCGGGCGGATATTTATTATATGGAGTTGGTGGTGCTGGTGGCGATGTAATCAAAATATTATTAGCTTCACAGTAAATCCGTAGATTTAAACACTAAGTAATTAAGTGTAAGAAATCCCAAACATCCACAGTGGAACTGACTACCTACATCAAATATCCATTCCTAACAGACAGTGTGGAAATAACGGTCACAAAATGTTTTGAGCAAATTATTAAAGCTTAAGACTGTGTGGAGACTGTCAGCTGACTATTTCAGAAAAGACCATTGTGATTGCCTCTTGCTAGTTAATTCCTTAAGGAAACATTCGTAAATGTTTCAGATCCGTAATTAATCTACAAACATGAGTGGATTAGAAAATGTCAACAGAGAGTAAATATATAGCTTAATAAACATCCTGACGTTTTTGAAATGGGCACAGATAATACGCGTAGGTTCTTCAGTATGTACCACCGACTCCCGCATACGTCCTGATTTTCCCGTCCTGGCTCCGGGTCAGCAGCTGCTGCTTCATAAGGTAGAAACCGAGTGTCCGCATCGGTGAGAGGTTTGCTGAAGCTTTCACACTCAGGAGTGGCAGCGCTGAGGCCCAAAGCCAGGTCTCCTGACTGAACTGCTGATTACCTTATTTCAGGGATTCAGGTGACCCCTCCTGGATGGGCACCACACGTGCTGCCTGATATCTGTATGCCCAGGGGCAAGGGCCAGGAAGAGCCGCCAGCGTCTTTGGAGAACAGTCGGTGGAGTAGATGGAATAAGAGGCGTTTACTAGCAAGTCCCGGCTTCTGAGGAGTAGGGTCAGGTTGACGTGCAACTGAGAAGCTTCTTCGTTACAGGAACGCTTCTTATCACAGGGCTGTTTCTTCCCATCACAGACGAGGGCCTTCTCGTTCGGTAATGGTGTGTGATGGAAGTGTAACCCATACACTCCTTGAGGTGGGGCAGCGGTGTTCATTTTTTATCCCCCGCACCGTGCACAGATGTCCGGTCTGCGATGTGAAAGCTTACGTCCGATCACTGGCGTTCAGGCTGAGAGTCCCCAGAGCCGGCTCAGGGCCGGGAACCAGGGATTCGCCGCTGTTCACATGAGCGTTTCTGTTTCACTTTCCCCAGCGATTGCAAAGCTCTTCAAATCAGGAAAACCCATATTGGCAGTGATTCGTATATTTTCTAAATAGTTCAGCAAAAATTTTTACAAAAGAGGAGTTCTAAAAATAAAACGAAAAGCATTCTGTGTTCAATTCAGAATCCTTGAAGGAATATGTTGACTTCCTTAGAGTTCCACAGGAGTACTCCAGAGTAGTCACCCTTCAGAAGCAGTTTGGCACAGGTGTGTGGGGGGCACTGGACGTGACACAGGCTTTCTGGGCTGCATACTTCAGCTGTTTAAATAGAGACAAGCAACCTCTCTGCTGCCATTCAACAAACGACCCAGGGCACCCTGTTAGGACAGCAGCCCAGACCAGCCTCCCTGGGCCGTCCTGGTGACAGATAAGAGGCTGAGGATTGTCACAGGAGCCCCTGTGAGCCCTGCTCAGCAGAAATGGGACTGTGATTAGAGTCTCCCCTCGGGGTGGGTCTGTGGGGTCAACTCTCGGCCTGGCTCACAGGGCCCGCTATGTCCAGTCCATCTTTCGGTGACTTTGACCCTTAATATAGTGATGTGCTTGTCCTTTCATCCTCGTCTCTATGTGAGTTTGTTCCTTTTCCCGAACTAAGTAGCTGGAGCTTCTTGATCATGTGCGATTCTTGTAACTTAAGATTTAGAAATACACGTATATGTATATACATATCCAATGTATCATATTACGTAGAGATTACATATATATGATATATATCATTATTTGTGCATTTTCCAGAGGATGAGAAGTCAGTGAAAGTTGGAATTAACCCTGAAAGCCTCCAGAACTTTCTTTCCTTACGGCTAATGGTGTTTGCCTCATTGTTCACGATAAGGGTAGTGCTATTGGGTTCTCGGAAAAGTCATGATGCATTTTTGCAACAAAAAACATAGAAAAAATACGTCATGACTTCTCCGACAACTCAACATTTCCTATGTAAAGGCTGCCCGTTTTCCTAAGCGGAACCTCTGCTCCTTCTCCGTCCCCAAACCCTCTTACATTTTGTCTCCACATCTTTTGTTGTCATAAGAAAACGGGAAGCTCTCAAGAAGAGGAATCTTCACTTGACCAACTTGGCGTCACCAACATAGCGACTTAATAATGATAGTAACTGAGCTGACCTCGCTTCCCGTCGCAGGCGGCAGACCCGAGACAGGAAGCGGGGAGCCCGGCCTGACCTGTGGGCTCGTGAGCTAATCAGCCTGAAGGTCTGGCTGGAATGGGAGACGGCGAGGAGACCAAGAAATACTAGCTTAGCCGTCAGTCCTGAGGATGGAAACCTGGAAAAGCCAGGCAGGGGCATTCAGTGTTTGAGGAATGAAACTACAAGGAAGCCTGAGATGGCGAGAATGGTAAGCGACAAGGGTGTCAACGCCAGGTCTTGGAGGAGTGCTCGGCCCCCAGAGGCCGTCCCCTGAGGGACCTGAGAGAGGACGAGAAAGACGGCTGCCACTTTACAATAACCCGTGTCGGGACACTGGAAACACTCAGTCATTATTACTCACTGGGCGTGTACTTCCTTAAAAACATTAACAAGGAACACCCTGGAGCCTTGGTGGGATGGTCGTGGTCACGGGAGAACAGAGATGGGTCCCTGACAGTGGGGTGCGCGGTGACACCACGAGGTGCTGGCAGAGAAGCTCGAGGAGCAGAGCGACCGTCCAGCCCCCTGGGAACCAGCGCTGTGCTGGGCGCATTCCCGAGGCCGGCGTCCCTCTGCGAGCACCAGCTGTTTCATTAACTTTGCTGGTTCTCACTCCACATCACCAGGCAGCTCCTCCTTAGAGTGGGGCGTCTGGGGGGCACCCCCAGTGGGAAGAGTGAACATGGACCTGCTCCAGTCTCATTTCACCAGGAACTTGGCCTCTGGCGTTCGATTAAGCCTGCGGCCTCAGCTGACACGTGTCTGTTCTGGGTCCCCGGCCACCAGTTCAGCGGCGAAGCCGCCGCCTTGAGAGGCGGCTGGTGACGCTGTGTGTGTTCCAGAGTTTACAGTGTAGACGTGCGGGTGACCCAGGGTGAGGGCAGCTCCCGGTGTCCAGGAGCCAGAAGCCGGAGGGGAAGGCGCATGGGAACAGAGGAGGAGGAACGGACGGGTCGGAAGCCATTTCGAGGCGAGTCCCGGGCGAGGGGGCGGACGCCAGGATCTGCAGGACACAGCTGCCATGAGTCCCCAGGGCCCTCTGAACCAACTACTTGAAAAAAGAAGGAAAACAGCCCTCCTGGTGGAGACTCGGTGCCTTCGGGCCACGCCCTGCCCGAGACAACCCCGAGAATGACGAGCCGCCCGGCCGAGCACCCCGGGACCGTGGGCCTGAGTCTGCCCCATCGCAGGCGGCAGGGATTAGTGTGGACGTGGGGAAACGGCCTGTCTGGGGTCTGCCCTGTCCTACCCCACGGCCACGTCTCACGGCTGCCTAGTGTCCGCTCTTCGTGTTTCCAGAATCGCACCCCTTATCTGCACCTGGCATTAGCTGTCTAAGAACCCAAGAGACGCCTCCAGGTCACCCTGCAACTGTCATCACCCCACAGCGTGGCCCGTCCCTCTCCCTCTCTCTGATCGCAGCCG